TGGAATCTCGAGCCTGTCAATGTAGGAGTCTCGAGCCTGTCAATGTTGGAGTCTCGAGTCTGTCAAGTCTCGAGTCTGTCAATGTTGGAGTCTCGAGCCTGTCAATGTTGGAGTATCGGCTTTGACAATGTTGGAATCTCGAGGCTGTCAATGTATCGGGTCTGTCAATGTTGGAGTATCGAGCCTGTCAATGTTGGAGTCCCGAGCCTGTCAATGTTGGAGTCTCAGGTTTGACAATGTTGGGGTTTCGGATCCGTCAATGTTTTGGTCTCGGATGTATTAGTTGGCATTTTGGGGTTTTGTAGCATTTATGATTACCAGCACTTGTAAGCACATAAATGACGTAGGCTCTTGCCGGTTATAACTCCTATAGTATACTTATTTAAATCTAATTAAATAAAACTTCCATACTGATATATACACTCTTAACCCTAAACAACTTCCCTATTCTCGATCATCATTCTGAAATGATATAGATACCATATAGCTGTGTGATTGGATACTGTTAAATACAGAATTGGTATTGGCTTCATGGCAACAATACAAATCATCTCTTAAACGTTAAAGATTGACCCGAAGGTAAACGGTCTTTGGTAATGATTGTTGAGATCCCAACGGAAGCTCATTTCCATTATTTGTTTGTTAATGCTGTCCAACTTGTTTTCATTTCTCAAGCTCTCATGATAAACACACTCGGAAACGAAACAACATATCAATCATCTTACCTGTGCGATGTGTCTTTAAGATACATATAACACATATTAGACTTTGTTCACGCCAACAGGTTCGTAGTGATCCGCCATGTCTACAGAGCAATTGTCAGTCTACTTTCGGTTTACGTTTGACACATACCAGTGACATTGTACTTGGGGAAACCTGTAATCAAAGCGTTTACTAACCGAGACGTGTGGTTATACGTGTAAACATGTGTACAGACGTAGATCTAGGTAGGTGTCTATAAATAGAAACTATCTGTCGTAAGTGTTCATTGCTGAATACACATCACATGTGTGGTTATTCCTGGCAGTGTAGGAGTGGTTAATCGATATTTCTGATGATTTCAAATGAAAATCTTCAAACAGGCTGAAATATCGGTATTGGTTTTGATGGAATCACGGGACATGTGAAGGAATTCGGTATCTATAGTATATACTGTGACAACCGTCCTGTGTATTTTTACCAACAATTGTATCCTCCCCGTCACATCAATGCAACAATAAAAAGGAAACAATAAACATACTTCAGGGTATGTTTGTTCATATCATACATAACATTAGGCGTTCTAGTACGTCCGGGTTTACTTAAAACACTTGACTAGTCCACAGGGGTTCGGTGAGTAATATATGACGGAAATTATGATAATTTCTGTTTATACACATCAGTAATTAATAGCAACGCTTTTTATCTGGTGTTTATACACATTCGCTTAAACCTTATAAAAAATGTCGGGTTCCGCGGTAGTGTTGGTGTTATTTACTGATGTGTATACCTGTATTATTAACCGAAATTATTATAATTACGGTCAAATATTACTCACCGATCCCCTGTGGACTAGTCAAGTGTTTTAGGTAAACTATAACCTAGTGTTATGATATCACTGAAAGTAAAATAAAATGAATGAACAAACATGATGCAAATGTTGGTACAAATACACAAGATGATTGTCACAGTATATACTATAGATACCGAATTCATTGATTCACATGTCCCGTAAGTCCATCAAAACCTATATCGATATTTCAGCCTGTTTCATTATGTCCATTACTCAAAATCACAAAACCGAGCCCCAGTTTGCTAGCCAACCTAAGGATTCCCGTGTTACTGCGAAAAAAAAATGTATATATGCATTGGAAACTCGGAAAGGCTTTAATAAATCTATTCTGAAAAAAGAAGCATACCTTGCATTAACCTATAATCCGCGGTGTAGACCAGGTCATACTGTTGGTAGAGTCATAACCAAAACGAAATGACGGGTTACAGTGGAGCAAGTGGTCCTCAATTTTTAAAACTCAACGAGGCATCTCTATCAATAAAGGAGAAATCTCATTAAATAACGGGTTGTTTTAATCTTCACATTACTTTCTTAAATTTATCTCGAATCTATTGAAAGATATCTTTAAGTGTTAAAGAGCTATTTTTGATAGAGATATTTCTAATTCATTTAAAGTTATATCTTTATTTCATTTAAAAATGTAGCATGTTAACATTTGTATCAGTTATCTTTAATTAGATGTGATGTAGGCTTGAGGAACTACACAGGAGGGACCAGAAAACCAGAATCAGCTACAAAACGGGCAAAGAAAATGGATAAAGGGGCCTAACACTGTACTTCCAAAACAATACTCCGTACATTATACCTCCAAAACAATACTCGGTACATTATACCTTAAGAACAATACCCGGTACACCGTTCATCCAAAACAATACTCGGTTATACACTGTACCTCAAAAACAATACTCGGTAAGCTATACCTTAAAAACTAAACTTGGTCCACTATACCCCAAAAACAATACTCGGTAAGCTATACCTTAAAAACTAAACTTGGTACACTATACCCCAAAAACAATACTCGGTAAACCGTACCTCCAAAACAATACTCGGTACACTATACCTCCAAAACAATACTCGGTACACTGTATCTCAAAAACAATACTCGGAACACTATACCTCAAAAACAATACTCGGTACACCGAATCTCAAAAACAATACTCGATACACTATACCTCAAAAATAATACTCAGTACACTATACCTCAAAAACAATACTCGGTACACAATACCTTAAAAGCAATACCCGGTTCACTGTACCTCAAAAACAATACTCGTTACACCTTACCTCCAAAACAATACTCGGTAAACCGTACCTTCCGAAACAATACTCGGAACACCGTACCTCAAAAACAAAACTCGGTACACTGTACCTTACAAACAATACTCGGTACACTGTACCTTACAAACAATACTCGGTACACTGTACCTCAAAAACAATACTCGGTACAATGAACCTTAAAAAATACAAGGTACACTGTACCATAAAAACAATACTCGGTACACTATACCTCAAAAACAATACTCAGTACACTATGCCTTAAAAACAATACCCGGTACACCGTACATCCAAAACAATACCTGGTGCACTACACCTTAAAAACAATACCCGGTACACCGTACATCCAAAACAATACCTGGTGCACTACACCTTAAAAACAATACCCGGTACACTGTACATCCAAAACAATACTCGGTACACTATACCTCAAAATCAATACTCGGTATACTATACCTCAAAAACAATACTCGATATATTGTACCTCAAAAACAATACTCGTTACACCTTACCTACAAAACAATACTCGGTAAACCGTACCTTCCGCAACAATACTCGGAACACCGTACCTCAAAAACAAAACTCAGTACACTGTACCTTGCAAACAATACTCGGTACACTGTACCTCAAAAACAATACTCGGTACAATGAACCTTAAAAAATACAAGGTACACTGTACCATAAAAACAATACTCGGTACACTACACCTCAAAAACAATACCCGGTACATTGTACCTCAAAAATAATACTTGGTACACTATACCATAAAAACAATACTCGGAACACCGTACCTCAAAAATAATACTCGGTTCACATACTCGGTAGACTATACCTCAAAAACAATACTCGGTACACTATACCTCAAAATCAATACTCGGTATACTATACCTCAAAAACAATACTCGATATATTGTACCTCAAAAACAATACTCGGTACACTATACTTTAATACAATACTCGGTACACTATACTTTAATACAATACTCGGTACACTATACTTTAATACAATACTCGGTACACTATACTTTAATACAATACTCGGTACACTATACTTTAATACAATACTCGGTACACTATACTTTAATACAATACTCGGTACACTATACTTTAATACAATACTCGGTACACTATACTTTAATACAATACTCGGTACACTATACTTTAATACAATACTCGGTACACTATACTTTAATACAATACTCGGTACACTATACTTTAATACAATACTCGGTACACTATACTTTAATACAATACTCGGTACACTATACTTTAATACAATACTCGGTACACTATACTTTAATACAATACTCGGTACACTATACTTTAATACAATACTCGGTACACTATACTTTAATACAATACTTGGTACAATGTACCTAAAAATCATCACTCTGTAAACTGTTCCTCAAAAACAACACTCGGTCCATTGTACCCCTAAAACAATACTCGGTCCGTCGTTCCCTAAAAACGACATTCGATAAGATTTTTTAAATATCGCTATTTCAGTTTCATACGTGATTATCTTTTTCTGGACCGCGGTGGCCAAGTGGAAAGGCGTCTGAAATTCTGCTACCTCTAGCCGTCCACCACTGGGTCGGGGGTTCGAGGCCTACGTGGGGCAGTTGCCAGGTCCTGGCCGTAGGTCGGTGGTTTTTATCCAGCAACTCGCGCTTTCCTCCACCACCAAAACCTGGCACGTCCTTAAATGATAAAAGCTGTTAATAGGACGTAAAACACAAACAAACTAATATATTTCAGTTGCATACGTGATTAAAATTGACCCTCAAGTTCCAATGTCCGGTGCAAGACTTCAAGAAGTTGAACAGACTGTGTAGATCAAAAGCAAAACTCCAAAATAACTTACTTTCTGGTTTACTCCATATCCCATAGAAGTTTAAATAGTCACGGCAGGAGGAATGCGCGGCAATTACGGTTTTATGGCTGTTGGTCTAGATGATGTCATGAGTTGTAAATTAAAGCTGAAAAGCTGAAAAACTGAATAAAATAAGGTACGACTTGTAAAAATCTGTTGGATATCCATAGAGCCATCACAACAGACAGCGTGGCATTTTGTTATCAAATGGTTTTACTTTGTACACTATCATTGTTTATCTTTTATTATGACGTCATAATTGAAATGACGTAAACATATCAGATGACGTTTCATTTTCAATTTTGTCAGGTGCATAGAAATGATTGAGTAAGCATGGGTTGCAAAATGTCTTGTCACATGACACCCAAGCGTGAATCATTCCAATTGGACGTGATGAATCCACCAGAAGGGGGTCTGCCGGTTGGAGAAAGATTACATAACGCCATCCTGTCTAACGATTTAGAGACTTGTCGACAAATATTGAAAAAGTTTTCAGGTGGGAAGTTTCCTTTCCTGCAAGAGTTTCCATGTGGCCATCTTTCGCGGTCTCCGCCATTGCATGTTGCATGCATGTATCGCAGACCTGAAATTGTGAAACTGTTTGTGGAAAACGGAGCCGATGTGAGCGCATTGGACATATATGGAAGAACGCCTTGCAATATTTGTTTACAATATTGGCCACGTATCTGGCCGGAAGAGAAGACGCTATTTTTTGACGACCTGGAAATCGAAGCAGAATTTTGGAATTCCATAAAGGAACAGATTTTTAAAGCGTCGTGTATATTGGAAATACTTTTGAAGCACGGGGCGGACGAAGCGGAGAGGCTTTGTTCTGATAACCAATCTCTGCTCCATTTTGCTGCTAAAAAAGAGCTACATGGTGCTATGAAGATCTTAATTGAAACTGGTGTTGACCTTAATATCCGAGATGTTTATTTATGTACACCCCTTGCATTGGCAGCTAAGCATGGCCGCTTGAGGAGCATCACGTATCTTACTAATGAAGGGGCTGACGTCACACTCGTTGACGTAAATGGCTGCACATTTTTACATCATATCTGTTCATGTGAAAGATTGACTTTATTTGAGCTCCGTGACGCCACGAACGTCGCACATCACCCAGTCATAAACCAAACCAATCGCGAAGGCCAGACGATCTTACACATCACTGCAACTCAGGGAAATGGCGACAAAATTTCTTTTCTCTTACAGAGAGGATGTGACGCTGATATGAAAGACAACATGGGTCGCACGCCTTTATTTTGTCTCTTAGATTCATGTGAGCCCGGTTGTTGTCTTCTTGGGATCGAGTGTCTACTCATGGAAATGACTCAAATAAACATTCGAGACAAGCACGGCCACTACCCGATATGTTTCTCCAGATATCGTAAAGACATTCCGGGGATCTTAAAAGATTTGTTGGCAATGTCGGCTTCTCCCTCTCCTCTTTTCTACCTCTGTGTCCAGAAGGTCCGACACACAATGGGTAGAGATAGACAGGATGTCCGCCATTTGTCCCAACTCCAACTTCCGGGTGTTCTAACAGCTGAAATCGTCCTCGTTAGTAACTTCATGAATATGTCTCTTTTACATAAAAAATGATTTAGTAGGGGGCATAGTAAGAGAGTGAACAGTTGAAGAAACAAAGAGCTGTCATAGTTACAGAAGACAAACTCACAGTAACCAAGTGAAGTCATAGTAACAAAAGACATAGTCACAGTAACAAAAACAGTCATGGTAACATAGGGCACAGTAACAATGGTGTTGTGTATTTGTCACACAAAAGGTCCATGGGCATCAAACACAACCTCACACAGTAAACGCCATTACCGCGGAACTACCTTTATTGCTTGAACATATTACTACGCATGTACACAATATGGAGGGACCCGGAATCGGTCCTTAATCCGGAATATACAACACTCCTCCCTTTTTAACTTTAACCCTTATTAGCAAATATATATGAACATTTAATATTAAATGAATGGCTGGATGTTATTAATAGAACATTAACTCGGTGTAACTCTATTAGAACAAGAACACACACAAATTCAAAATAATGCTTCCTGCACAGATACACAATGTCATGAATTGGGTATAAAAATAAAAAGTGTTGACATGTATAGTTTCATTGCATGTCCGACTAGAAACACACTAAGTAGTTATACAACACTCGACAAATCTCTACAAATCCATTTACTCTGGGGTCTTCTTAGACCTCTTAGAGCGTCTCAACATGGGTGTCACTCCTGGTGTGACCTTGGACAGGGTAATACCAGTGTCCAACTGAACCTGACTCGCGCTTGTGTCCATTGGCACGGACACCACTGATTCGGAAATGTCTGTTTCCAGCACCTGTGGTGCATCGTCACCAAACAGCGAAGGACTGTGTAGCGATGGAGAACACGAACCAAGTATCTGGTCCGCGTGACGACGCAAACACTGCCCGGGGGCCACTTGCACCTGATAGGACAAAGGCCCAGATTGCGACGCGATTACACCGGGCGTCCGTTTATGATTTCCGCGATAGTCACGCACTGAAACTGGGTTCCCAACATCGAGTTCGCGCACTCTCTGTTTGGAAACGCTCTCCAACAGACCCTACTGACATAGACTTGCTCAAATTAGGCTTTATAAGATCCAAACGCGTTTTGATAGTGCGTCCCATGAGTAGACTTGCTGGTGTTTCAGAAGTAGCAGATTGGGGTGTGGTTCGGTATGCCAGTAAAAACTTTTGAGTGGTGTTTTTTTTGCATGGTACCACTGTCATACTCCGCAGCTTTCATAGCCTGCTTGAATGTCTGTACCAACCCATCCGTTCGCGGATGATACGGTGCCGATGTCGTGTGACGGATACCGTTCATTTCCATGAAAACTGCGAACTCCGCTGACGTAAATTGAGGGCCATTGTCGCTCACCAGTTGCTCAGGAATACCGTTTTTCGCGAACACGGATCGGAGTACTTCAATAGTATGCGCGGACGTTGTTGACTTCATCGCGATTACTTCGGGCCATTTCGAGTGAGCGTCCACCATGATAAGGAACATGCTTCCCAGGAATGGTCCCGCAAAGTCAATGTGGACTCTCTGCCACGGCTGAGTAGGGAACTCCCACGGATGAACTGTGGCTTACCTCGGCGCGTTTCTATTCTCTTGGCATCCCGCGCACGACTTTGATAGATTCTCAATATCGGCATCTATCCCTGGCTACTATACGTAGGAACGGGCCAATGACTTCATTTTGACAACTCCAAGATGACCCCCGTGGATCACCCTAAGAACCTCGTCACGGAGGCTGCTGGGAATGATTACACGTATACCCCACAGCAAACACCCTTGCTGCACGGTCACCTCATGCCTTCTCTCATAATAGGCGTGTAGATCTTTATCTACCACGTCACTCCAGTCTCGCATAGCCGCGTCATACACTCGCGACAACATTGCATCCTTCACGGTCTCTTTCCTTAGCCTGTTAGCGGTCAAAGGCAGCTGTTCCAACTGTGACACCTGGTATACATGCGTGTCATCCAATATATCCTCCTCTTCTGGCTGGACCTTCGGATCAAGCGTCATCCTCGACAGACCATCCGCGTTTCCATGTAGTTTTGTGTTACGGTACTCAATGGAATAATCGTGTCCCGCGAGGAACATCGCGTACCGTTGCAGTCGGGCTGCCGTAGTCACCGACGTACCCTTCTGAGGGTTGAAGATTGACACCAACGGTTGGTGATCGGTCACCAAGGTGAAATGTCTACCATAGAGATATGGGTGGAACCGTTTGATCCCCCATACGATACCTACTGCCTCCTTGTCGATCTGAGCATATTGCTTCTCAGCTGCGTTCAAGGAGCGCGACGCGAACGCTATCGGCTTTTCATCACCGGACGGTAGCTTATGAGACAAAACCGCTCCGAGCCCGAAAGGCGAGGCGTCACAGGAAAGTTTCACGGGAAGGTTCGGGTCGTAATGTGTCAGTACCCTATCTGACACCATCATCTGTTTCACTTTGTCATGTATACAACAAATGGGAACACAAACTAAGTGCACAGTCAAATTACAAAGGTCAAATTCACGCTTACAAATGACATAACAATTATTCACAGTAGCGCTTGCTCGCAGTAACAAAAGGCAGCCACATTTACAAAGAGAAAGTGAAGTGACAAAGAACACAAGTTCTTTATTAACTTTAAGTTTTGCGACTTATCAGTGTAAACATATAATAAACAGGATATCTACATATGTACAAAAAAGCCACATTGGTCACAGGAGAATGAACAACACACATAAACAATGACAAATGACAATGAGACAGATGACAAAAGACAAAGTTGTAGTAACGAATGTCACAGTTGAGTTCGCGTGTTACATCCTGGTTAGTAGCCTTGCTCTCTGACAATGCCGAGGAAAATCGGACGCATAAGTTATTTGTCTAAATCGTATGTGTACATTTCTAACACAAAGACTGTCAAAACGAGCTAGACTTTGATCGTTCCCCAATATCCTATATTAAAACGCTAATTTGTCATCTCTTGGTTTATAATATGTGAGTAGTCATTTTATATACAAGTAAAGTAAATATTCATTTTAAAGTAATATATATTCGAAAGTGTTGAGCAAATCAATTCCATATATATATGCACTATTCTTTATCTGTATTTTATGTTTTTATACTAATCATTGATAAAGTAACTGTTCAGAACAAATTGTGTATAATACACACACATATACATATATATATGGATATATGGGTCAAAGAAGTATTATAGACGGTAAAATCCCATATAACACTATATATATGGATATACATATACATGTCATATGGATATATATATAAATGATTTCCGTAAGAAAACACCATCACTGTGTTCAGACTGCTCATGGAATGCAGTCATTATTTCGGGGTTGGTTGTGGGTTGTACGTGATCATTTTACAGGTAATGGTGCCGTGAAGATTTGATTTAAACATATCTTATTCAAAAACATAATGATGCGTTGGAAGTATATATTAAACTGATCAAATTACGTTCTCCATGTACACGTACACTCCAGTCTATGAGGTCTATCCTTATAGAGACGTAAAAGTGTGTTCCTCATATGCTAGCATTCGTCTGCCAGAGGAAAGGATCTAACGTGCATTAAACTGAGAAATAGTCTTTAAACAAAAACGTCAGATGTTGATGCACAATACTGTAACATTGCAAGTTACAGTAAAAGGGAGAAAACTCCGTAATATGTGTTAACATTACCTCCCCTTATAGTTCTAGAGCATATTAGCAGTGTACATTTGTAAGGGGGTTTAAATTTAAATTTAAAAAGCACACACAAGCGTAGATAGAAAAAGTAGAAAAATGAACTTAAACAAGGACTACTGGGAACAGGTCCTTCGTTTACACATATCGCCATCCCATGTGCGAAGCAGCCTGCAGAACGTTCTATAGTTTTCGGCATTTCTAAGGTCGTTCGACAGGCTGTTCCACACCCGGGCCGCCTCAAATCTGAAGGATTTATTTGCGTAGCCCTCTGTCTTTACCTCTGGTATGCTGGGAGTCTGTTGTTGTCTGTAATTATAATTCGAAAAATGTAGTTTAATAAGGTCAGATATGAAATCAGGTGCCATTTCTTTTACAATTTTGAAAACTTCTTTTGCCATAATGTGTTGGTAACATTACAAAAGTCCCAGGCTAGTGGACAATAATTAAAACTTGATAAGATGAAAGATTTAAAACAATCTGATTAAAATCATCTGTTACATGGCTCCGCCTGAACATCGTTCAGGCGTAGTACGAAGTTAATGAAGCCATGTAACATATGGTTTTAATCAAGTTTCAAGTTTTTTATTTCCGAATGCAAATCAGCATATAGGTTAATTGATACATAGAATACAAAACATATTTCAAATTTTCAAGATGGCGGAGGACAATTCCATATAAGCAATTATCACATAAAAAGAATACATAATTTAGCAATATTACTGCACGAGGGTTTTTCTTTTGACGGCAGCATATTTTAAATATAGACCCAATCTACGTAATGTTTTAATACTTTTACATGACAATAATTCAATTAATTTATACACACTGGGGCATCGGAAGTAATATTGCTTAATGTATGTGTTTCTCAATACAGAGTAAGCAGGACAAATAATCAGATTGTTTTAAATACAGTATACAATTCCTCATTTTCTTTTACCCTATATATTATATATAGAGCCAAAACAGGTCAAAGCTACTATTTCACGACTTGACACGAAGAAGTCAGTCGGACTTGATGGTATATGGTATATCTGCCAAAATGATGAAAGCTGGATGTGATGCCCTGATTAACCCATTATGTAATTATTTTAATCATTGTTTAAATGTTACTAAATTATCTAATTCATTTAAACGGGCGCAAATTATCCTACTATCATCCCTAGTTTCCTTAATTTTACATACACTAGGGCGACAAGAGAGGTCAGTAACTTGTTCAAGGTTTGTACCAATATCACAGGCTACTGTGGAGAAAAAAAATGTTAAAATATCGCAAATGTTTTCTTGATCAGAGATGATATCATTGTTTTCTTGTAATGCTGTATATTCTATATTTCTACATTTCTTAGATAAAAATGGTTTCACAGTTGGACAAAAACCTTTAGAGCCTGGTCCTCCAGAACAACGTCCAATAAAATAATTTCGAACAGATAATCTTAGGGACATGGCTTCTCTGTTTCTTGTGACATGCGACTGACTATCGTTATGAAAATAAACATATGTAGCCCCCATTTATTTGACATTCATATGGTCATGATTTGAATATGACAAATGAATCAAAATTTTGACTATGATCGAGTTGAACGTGGATGAAACGGTAATGAAGTCAAAGACAAATGCGGTTTAATAGAACTCTTACATTACATCACTCTATCACATTACTGTTAACCATGATATGTCAGTTACTTGCGGTTTAACACATGAAACAAACTTCAACTATATATTGAGATGC